CTGCCCAGTGCAGCTCGAGCACTGAGCCACCTCCCCTGCTCTGGCCCTCCCCTGATGGCAGCGACCTTGCACAACGCAGACTCCATGGCCTCCTGTAATGAGGGGCTTGTGCTGTTCAGCCTTCCCCAGGTCCCCCGTAGTCACCTCATGCTATTTAATCCCAGTACATGCTTAGGCCTCTAAGCAGCCTGGGTCAGGAAGGGTGTATGAAGAACTCTTCCAGGAGCAGGTGGTACCAGACCTGAGTGGTGAAAAGTGAATGCTCTTGTTCTGGTTTTCTCCTTGAAGAAATGGATGTAACAGAGCCACAGCAATGCTGAGAGTGACCACAGCGACTGAGTGAGATGAAATGTATGGCAGGCGCTGTGGATCAAAAGCCACCACCAACAGCCTTGCTTCTGCTTTGACTATGAGGGCTAGAAAGGTTAAAAACTTTCACATTTCCTTGTGGCTCAAAGGGACCATGGGGCTTACTTCTGGAATACACAGGGAAGTCTCTGCTGCTCTTCCAGAGGACCTGAGTTCTATTCCAACCACCCACATCAGGTCATTCACAATTGCCCATAACTCTACCTCCAGAGGATCTGATGCCCTCTTCTGGCCTCTGCAGATACCAGCATGTGCGCAAACACACATAAAAATAAATCTTTATTATTTTTTTTTCCTGAGACAGGGTTTCTCTGTGTAGTCCTGGCTGTTCTGGATCTCGCACTGTAGACCATACTGGCCTCGAACTCACAGAGATCTGTCTGCCTCTGTGTCCTGAATGCTGAGATTAAAGGCATGCACCACCATTGGTACAATTCCTCAGGTGAGGTCCTCCTTCCCAGGTGACTACAGTTTGTGTCAAGTTGACAAACACTAACCACACTACTCCCTTCATCTTTGTGTATCTAGAACAGAAACCCTGGGTTCTTTGGCCAAGGTTGGAGGGATGGACATTCCAAATAACGACACAATGGCAGCTTTGGTTCCAAAAGTCCTTGTTGATTTTTCATTTTGGATGCTGTCTTAGTTACTGTTCTACTGCTGTGAAGAGACACCACGACACAGGTAACTCATAAAAGAAAACATTTAACTGGGAGCTTGCTTACAGTTTTAGAGGGTCAGTTCGTTACCATCATGGCAGGAAGCAGACAGGCATGGCCCTGGAGCAGTAGCTGAGAGCTTCACATCCTGATCTGCAGGCAGCAGGCAGAGAGAGAGAGAGAGAGAGAGAGAGAGAGAGAGAGAGAGAGAGAGAGAGAGAGAGAGAGAGAGAGAGAGAGCGCCAGCCTGGCATGGGCTTTTGAAACCTCAAAATCCACCCTCAATGACATACCTCCTCCAACAAGACCACACCCTATTGCCATTCAAAGAGGCAGAGGATGTTTTTGCATGTTTGGAGAGATAGTGTCTCATTATACAGCCCAGGCTGGTTGGAAAGTCAAAATCACTTTGCCTCCTGAATGCTGGGACTATGGATAGAGGTCAACTCTATCAAGGTCACAAAGGAAGTCCACAGTAATGGTGGTTTGAAGGCCAGGTCCTCTCCCACACTGCACTGTTCCTCTTGGCCTCACTGGATGTGGTCATCTCTTCTCCCAGGACACCTCTCAAAAGGGGAGTTTAGCAACCTCTGGCTTAACTAGCCAGGCACTCTTACATACTCTTGCCAGCAGATGGCACTCTCCACCAGGCCTCTGCAATTTGTCCCAAAAAGGAGGCACTGAAATGCACCCCTGGGAAGGCCTCTGGGAAAGAAGCCACCTTCTCCCATGATCTCCCCTCCCCTCCCCCACAGGGTGGTCTGGGCCACAGAGCAGGCCACGCCCAGAGGCCCGAGGCCAGGGCTTTGAGGACCCTGATGTGAATGCCTGAGCTGTTGCTTGGGGCAACCTGGGCAGCCTAGTTATAGGTTAAGCATGGGAAATTCCTGCAGCTTGAGGAAGCCAGGCCCTGGGCATCCACTGGTACTGCTCCAGAACCTGCTGGAATCTTTACTTCTGCTGTAGCAGGTCTTTCTGGGAGAGACTCCTGAAGTCTCCTAGGGGCTGAGTAGAGGAGCCAATGTCATCAGAAGAGGAAGAGGCAAGTAGATGCCTCTGCAGGTTGATGTCAATTCTCTCCCTTCATCTACCCTGAGGGAGACCTGAGCTAGTACCCCACCACTCCAAGACACACACACACACACACACACACACACACACACACACACACACACACATACACACACACACACACCCTCTCTCTGCTCTGGATCAGAGGTCAGAGGTCATAGTGGGCCCGCACAGAGGACACACTCCTGACCCCATTGTCATGGTTCTGCCACCTTTCACTGTCTCTCGGTTGACATGTGATTGTCAGTCTCACTGTAGCTGGTCGGAGGCAAAGCCAGGCAGGGTGAGGGACTTGCAGTTAGAGGCCAAAGAGGGGGCTTGAATTCAGGGCTTTCCAGAGGACACATTGAGTGCTTTAAGTTTGGGTGGCTGCAGGGACCCAGAGTCCCCGACAGTGGCCAGGACAGAGGCCTTCATCTCAGGTCTCACGTCATTCACTGGTGCCCTGAGCAGAGCAGAAATGAGAGTCTCCAGGCTGCAGTGAAGAGCAAAGGTTCATCTAGACTCAGAAAGGGCTTGTGGGTCCAGATGACTGTGACGCCACGTGACAGGCTGTGCGTCACTTCTCTTGGCTTCAGACTTGGCTTCCTTTAGTGGATAATGTGGGCTGCACAGCAGGTCACTTCTAAGGGACCCTAGTTCCTTTGTCAGTACACAGGCGGACTAGACATCTGGGTGTGGCAGGAGGGCCGTTAAGGCCGTGCCTGTTGCCGGCAGCTGGGGCTTCTTTAGGTTCCAGTACCCAGAAGCCACCACAACAGCTCTTGGGACAAGATCTAAGACCAGATTTCAAAGACCATGATCCCAGGTCATAGCAAACTCCCTAAAGGAAAAGTGACTTTGAAAGTCATGGTTCTCATGGGTGCAGTTTATGGAGCTGCTTTCCATCCAGCTCTGAGAAGACTGCCTGGGATCTGCCAATGCAGCTTGGGCAGCAATTTATTATGACGGAGGCCTGGCATGGAAAGTTGGTCTACATTACTGTGAAGACCTGTGACTGAGGCAGGGGCCCAGAGTGAGCCAATCCTTTCTGCTGGGGTGATAGACTGGCAACCCATCCCCAGGGAGAGGACTTGGGGGTGATATTGAAGACTCTCCACCCTTCCTGACTGTGCTGAGGGCTGATCGCTACAGAGACAGGGAACAGAAGTGATGACTTCCTGTCTGGTTTGCTCCCCACCATCCCTGAATTCTGCCCGTCTGCCACTGGGATGTTACAGCCACTTTCCTGTGAGTCCTGTGGCAAAGCCCAGGACAGGCATTTCCATCCAGGGTGCTTAGCCAGCAGTGAGCACAGCTCCAACATCTTCTGGCTGGGATCTCTGGCTCACTACTGCCCAGACAGTTGCCAAAGGCTCCCTGCACACAAGGTGAACCCTGCAAGCATGCCTAGGTTAGGTTTGGGATTGTGGGTCCAAGAGGCACCATCTACTCAATAGCAGGACTTGAGCTACACACAGCGAAAGCTGAATGGCTGGAGAATCTCTTGACCTCCCTTTTCTCTGTCTTCGTCATTTTCACTGTAGATAGGAATTTATTCATGGGCTTTGGAAGCCCTGGGCAAAAGAGCCAGGGGGAGGGTGGGTGAGCCCTGCTGTTGCTCTTACAGGCTGTTTCTCAGCACAGTGAGTTCCCAGCTCAAGGCAGAGAGGAGAGTCCGCTGGGGGATTCTCTCATAATCCTCACCTGTACCTTAGAGTCACTTTCTCTGCTGAGAAGCTTCTAGATGGCCAGAGAGGGTTATGGAGGGAGCTAGCAGACCAAAGCCCCTCACAGTCTCGTCTCCATAGCGCAGTGGAACAGCTTGACACTCCAGACTTTGCTACTTCCCACTTGACTCTGGGCAAATTGTTACCATTTTTTTGTGACTCAACATTCTAGAAAGTGATATACTAATCCCTATTACCAGATAGAGCAGCTGTAGGGAGGAAATGGCATGGGGCATATAAAGCAACAGATAGGTGATAACTTGTTAGCATCATTTAAGAACAGAAGTAAGGGAAAGGAGCTAGGCATGCTCCCAACACCCCCATGTTTTCCCCCTTTGGGGCTCTGCTTCGGTGTGTCCTCTGCTGATCAAAAAGACCTCTCCCATCATCACGGTTCTCAGAGCATCCTTGACAGTATGTATGTTAGTCACTGGTGTGATACTGTTTATTGTGTCTTCTGCCCACCGTGGCTCTCCATGAGTCTATCTTGCAGTATTGATGAATTCATAACACACGGAAGGGTGCTTAGCCATAAGAAGTTGCTGCAAGAAGGAATGAGCAGAGAGATGGGTGGATGAATGGGTCTGGACCAAGAAGTACAGGCAAAGAGGTTATACCCTGCTTTGCTTACAGCTGGTAGGGTGTGCTAAGCCTCCCATGCCTTCCATTCTCTTCCAAAGCCTTCGCGGGAGCTCACAGAACCTACTTCTCTTTGTGATTCATGGTTAGCAGTCAGAATATCCCAGGGGGAAAGGGGACAAAGTGATCAAGCCACCTCTGTCACAAAGAATCGATGTGGCTTACTCAAACCCTCTTCAGGGAGGATCACCAATCTCTCCCAGCCTCCTGAGCCCTAAGCTGGCCTATGGTCAGAGGTGTCATGTGGTGCCAAGATAGTGCCAGATCCCTTCCACTTTCCTCTACATACAATCGGAGAAACTGAGGCCAAGACAAGTGAGGGACTTGCCAAGATGGGTAATGGGCAAAGCCAGATCTGGAACCAGGACGATAACAGCCCAGAGCTCTAAGTGTTTTCCAACATGGAACCGACTTGAGAAACACGCAGTCTGGACCTGACTGACTACTGTAGAAAGAAGGGCAGCAAGGCACCAGGAGCCAGTGTCCCTCTGAGCAAAGAGACCCCTGGCTGGCCATTGTGTACAATGGGGCGGGGGGGGGGGGGGGGCAGGAATTTACTGTAGGAACCCTCTGTGCTACCAGAGCTACTTCCTCCGGGCACCCAAAGAAGGAAACCCATAATTACGGCTTTTTCATCTGCTCCCCAACCTAGGCACCAAAGGCAGGTTGTCAACCCAGCTATCTGCCACCCGGGCAACAGCAGGAAGGCCCTGAGTAGGCAGGCAGCCCAAACATTGGTCCATGTGCCAGCTATGGGCTGAGCTCAGGCCGCGTTCACCAGCCATGTAACTCTACAAGTACTGACCCTGGTCTGGGCTTTCCTTCCAGCTCCCAAACATCCCCAGACCCCAGACCAAGCTCTGCCCCTGTCTCCCAGGTGGTCCAGATGGAGGAGGAACTGCTTGGGAAGAATCAGCTGGGCGCGCGTGCGCGCATGCGTGCGTGTGCGTGTGCGTGTGCGTGTGTGTCCCATTCCATTCCCAGGGCAGGATGGGAGCACACCTGGGCCACAGTTACTCTGGAAGCGACTTTTAGAGAGCGCCTTGACCTGCAGACTCACAGGCCCCATTTAGTTGTTCAGTTTGGTATCCAGTGCAATTTTTAAAACGTAAAGGGGAGGGGTGTGGCCCAGGCCCACAAAGCCTGATGACAGTTGCACATCTATTTTCTGGACATTCTCTCTCTGGGCTTTCTCTGAACTGAATCGCCACAGGCTGGCGACCTCCCTCCTCAGGGCAGTCCGCTCTTTAGAACCAGGGCTAGCCAAATAAGAGCCCCAGGGTCTGCAAGCTCAGGTGTCCCCTACGGATAGGGCAGAGGCGGACGCCTGTTCCACCCGCGCGCTCGAAGGGTACTATAACCACAGTGGCACCAGAGCGCTACCCCAGGGGTCTGCTGCTCACCCTCCCGGCTTGTAGCTACACGCGAACATACCAGCGGCCTGTTGCCTTTTGCCCTCCCGACCTTGAAGAAATGTGATCGCCCGTTACTCAGACGGTAGAGAGAGAAGGTCACCGCGATGGTTGCACATTTGAACACTGAGCCCTTACTCTGCGTGGGGGTTGGCTACTCTAAGCCCAGCTGCCTTCCTAATTCATCAAGCCCTTTAAGAGTTTGGCTTCTGCTTTGGCGCAAGATCCCCGCCCAAATCTTTTCCTTTCCGACAGTCGGTCCTAATCCATCTGTCTCTTTCTGCCCTGTCCCTGCAGCTACTCGTCCTTCGTCCTTCGCCACAGATCCTCTCCCTCCCTTGCTCTGGCCTCCCACTGTGATTCTCAAAGGGCTATGGTTCGGAGATGCTACCAACCAAATGTGCACAGTAAACATCCCCATGTAGTTGCTCCCTGTGGCTTCCTGGTGAGCGTCCACCAAGGGGGCGCAAGGCGAGAAAGCTGGGTGGGAGGGACCCAGTCTTGCCTCGGCCTGGGTTTGGCAACCCTAGCACTTGCGAAGTAGCGGGGAGGGCGGTGTTTCTCCGTAGGGAAGTGCGGAGGAAGCTGGGCGGGTATGCGCGACGCCCCGTGTTCCAGCCAAGGAGAGCGCTCAGGTCTTGGGGCGGGGAGTGGGGGTTGCAGTGCCTTAGGGTTGGGAGGCGGGGCACTGAGCTGTGGCGGGAGCCTCCGGCGGGTGGCCCTCACTTGGCAAGGACCGGGACACCGTGCTGCGGCAAGGGGAGGTGGCTCCTGCCCTGCATTGCGCGATAGGCCTGAGTTGGGGGGCTCAGAGCTGCGGGTCGAGCGTTCAGCAGGGGGCGCTGCTCCGGGCGCTGGGCGGGGGTGGGGTGGGAGAGGAGGGGGGCAGCGGCTTGCTGCGCACACTTCCCCCATTATTAAACACTATGTTCAAAAGGCGTCGGGGGACTTCCCGGAGCCACGGAGCCCGTGTCGCGCGACCGAACGGCCCACGGAGCCCATGGACCTGAGCGCCGCCGCCGCGCTGTGTCTCTGGCTGCTGAGCGCCTGCCGTCCCCGCGACGGGCTGGAAGCTGCCGCGGTGCTCCGAGCGGCGGGGGCAGGACCAGCCTGGAGCCCCGGGGGTGGCGGCGGCGGGCGGACCCCCGTCCGGGCTCCGGGCCCTTCAGCTCTCCAGGCCGCCGCAGTTCCCGGGCCCCGCGCTGTGCGCCGCGCTGCGGGCTCTGGCTTCAGGAACGGCTCGGTGGTACCACACCACTTCATGATGTCGCTTTACCGGAGCCTGGCTGGGAGGGCTCCGGCCACGGCAGCCTCGGGGCACGGCCGCGCGGACACGATCACTGGCTTCATAGACCAAGCGACTCAAGGTACTTTACGTATCTTCTGTGCCAGCACATCCTGTCTGCTCCTGCTCTGAGATGAGCTGGGGGAGGCAAGCTTCTGCTCCATTGGGTTGTGAGTCAAGGTCCCAGGAACCCCATCTTCAGGTGTTACAAACTTCGTCTCCGAAGTCAGCGCATCCGAACTTGCTAAGCCTGGACTGTGGCGCCAGTCGGCTTGGTTTTTGAGGGCTGAAGGGTTGGAGGTCCCTCTGTGGAAGTGTAGGCTGACAGGTTTCCCTCAAGCAGGCAAGAGGAGTTAAAGATCCGCTTCTTCGGGGAAGGGTCTAGAGTGGCCTCGGGACTGGAGCCCTTGGAAGAAAGAAGGTAGAAAAAAGGAGAGGAATGGGGACCCTGGAGTTCCCGCCAAGAGGGACTAGCCGTGATGGTAGCCCCCTGTCTCTAAGGAAGGATCCACAGATTGAAGGAGCTAAGGAGAAATCAGGGCAGAGAAACAGGTATCCGATTAAAGTAAATGGCCTCTCTCTGTATCAGGGGCCCCTCTCAGTAGGCTGCGTGGGGTGGACAGTGGCTTCTGTGTGGGAAGTGTGGGTGCCTGTGTTCTGTGGCAGCCAGGCCCCAGTGGCCAGAGTCCAGGACTTTGGTTGTGTGGCGAGGACAGGGATGCTTGGAGCTCAAGCATCCCATCTTACCCTGTGCTGGACCCTCCAAAGGTAGGGTGTGGGTGGGTTTGTGGGGTAGTTGCTGTGTGTCATCTGGCTTTTATTAATCTCCATTGAAGCCATTAAAGCAGACAGATAGGGAAAATTTAACTAATTTCAGGCGGAAATGCAAGCAATTTTGGCCTTAATTCTGCCCAGCCCAAGATCTAGCTTGGAAATCAAGAAGGAAAGGAAGGCAAATAGGCCAGAAAAATAAAGTTGGGCAGCCACCGACAGTGTGCAGGCTGTTGATACCAGCGTGGAAAAACAGGCAGAGGCCACCTTGCAGCAATCACCCATCTCAGAAACACATACAGTCCTAAGCACAGCTTTCTTTTCGGTACATAGAAATCCTGGGCCTAAATGGCCCTTAGGACCAGCATGCATCTTCAGAAAGTCTGTCAAAGCACTCTGCACTGACTCATGGGAAGCTCCAATCCCGGTACACAGAACCAGGGAAAACTCCAGACCTGCCTCTGCATAGGATACAGGAGATCAGAGCATGGGAAAGGCCCTAAAATAGCAGGATCATCAGTCTTGGTGAGGGCTGGTTTGGTGTACTGTATTATAGAACTAACTAAATCTTTCTGATGGAGGGAGCTCTGCTTGATCAGCAAGACCCAGAGGCCCGCCACCTTTCCTCCCTCCGTCTCTGGAGAAGTGGGGTGAGGTGGAGGCTGCAGAGAAAGCTCTTTGGGGGAACGCGGGGGGGGGGGGGGGGGGTTGGGGGATGGAGGAGGTGGGACGGGGCTGGGGACACAGCCCAGCACCTCTGTTTAGCTTGCTCTCACCATCTTCAGTTTAGAAGAGAGCTGCTTGAGCAATACACTCAGACTGTAGACTTAAGGCATGAAGGCCTGGTGTCCACGGTTGGTGAACAAATCCCGAAGGTGGGGGGAGTCTGCATGGTCTCTCCGATGGGGCAAAACGAAACCATATGACCCCCTTCAAAGGCAACGCCTTATCTGCTCTTTGGTGGAATTTAGAATTTTTCCCCCGAGTCCATCCCAAAAGAAAAAGGGCCCATGACCAGAAATAAAATCTCAGTCCCGGAATAAATCACACCATAGCAAAAGACTAAGCAGCGCGCACCGCACCGTGGCGGCCATCGCTGCCCCTCATCTTTCCTTGAAGGTTCTTTGCATCCCTCTGCCTTTTCTCTTCTCTCTGGTGGCTGCGGGAGCACCAGGAGGAGCCAAGAATGGAGTTGAGGAGGGAGAAAACAAGGAACTTGGGAGAACCTGTTGCTAACTTGGGCCTTCCTTTCCGTTCTGCTGAAGGGACAGGGTGGCCTGCAGGGGAAAGGGGTTCTGTGTCGCGCTGCTGTTGTGTTTCTGGACTATTCTCAGCGTCCAATTTGCCTAGTAGGCTAGGTTGGGAGAAGAGAAGGAACCAAAGGACAAAAAATGTTTTTAGGAAACGGGAATTTTTCATTTCCGTAGAGCCAGGGGGAACTCGCAGCTCTTTGGGGGCGCTCAGCCCAGTAGTAAGGGGCAGTTGTCAGACACAGCAAGTCTTGGGGAAAAGGCGCGCCTGACCGTAAGTCTGACCTACTCTTTAGGCAAAGGCAAGGCGCTGGAGCAGGCAACGGAACTAAAGAGGCCTTAAGGTTTGGTCCTGTGTGTGGTGGTGCGGTCTTGCCCTGCACAGTTCAGAGATTAGGTGTGTGTGTCTGTGGTCGTCGGCAGTAGTGCAAGAACCAAAGCTTCAGGTGTAGAAGACAAGAAAAGATTGGCAGCACTCGTTCTGGAGCTCAGATGTGGGGATGACTGCAAACTCCTATGGGCCTTCCTGAGCTATGTTGTGTCGAAAACCAAGCTGTCCCCAAGGCTGAGTGCACTGGCTCTACTCTCATTCCGTTCTTTCTGTTTCTGTCCTTCCCGTAGAGGAATCCGTGGCCCAGCCTGGCCAGAGCTTTCTATTCGACGTGTCCGGCCTCCCTGATGCCGACGAGCTGGTGAGTGCCGAGTTACGTGTGCTGCGCAAGAGGTCTCCGGAGCCAGACCTGGTCAGTGCGACCCTCCCTCCGCTGCTGCTGCTGTCCACCTGTCCCGACGCGACCCGCACACCTCTCCTACTGCACTCGCGGGCTGCCGAGCCCCTAGAAGTGGCGCGCTGGGAAGCATTCGACGTGACCGACGCGGTGCAGAGCCACCGTCGCGAGCCGCGCGCCTCCCGCAAGTTCTGCCTGGTGCTGCGCGCGGTGGCCGGCTCCGGGAGCAGCCCGCTGTCCCTGCGGCGACTGGGCTTCGGGTGGCCGGGCGGCGGCGATGGCCCCGCTGCGGAGGAGCGCGCGCTGTTGGTGATCTCCTCCCGGACACAGAGGAAAGAGAGTCTGTTCCGGGAGATCCGCGCCCAGGCCCGCGCGCTGCGGGCCGCCGCTGAGCCACCACCCGATCCGGGACCAGGCGCTGGGTCTCGGAAAGCAATCCCGGGCGGACGCAGGCGAAGGAGGACGGCTCTGGCGGGGACGCGGGGAGCGCAGGGCAGCGGTGGAGGTGGCGGCAAGGGCCACGGGCGCAGAGGCCGGAGTCGCTGCAGCCGCAAGTCTCTGCACGTGGACTTTAAGGAGCTGGGCTGGGACGACTGGATCATCGCGCCATTAGACTACGAGGCGTATCACTGCGAGGGCGTCTGTGACTTTCCGCTGCGCTCGCACCTGGAGCCCACCAACCACGCCATCATTCAGACGCTGCTCAACTCCATGGCACCCGACGCGGCGCCAGCCTCCTGCTGCGTGCCCGCACGCCTCAGCCCCATCAGCATCCTATACATCGATGCCTCCAACAATGTGGTCTACAAGCAGTATGAGGACATGGTGGTGGAGGCCTGCGGCTGCAGGTAGCATTCCTTCTGGGGAGGGCCTTGCTGCCCAGGACCCCAGCTGAAGAGCAGCCTCATCCTGGCCTGTCACCAGGCCGGGAGGGATAGTGGAATATGACCTCAGCCTGCGCAGAGGAGAGCACACAGTTCACACTCACATTTACACACTCCTTCACTCGCGCACACATTTACCATGGACAGCAGGCGCGGAAAGCCTTGTGCGGACGCGACGACTGGATGTCACAGTCATGCTCATATAACATCCATACAAACTGCTGTCTCTTTTAGGAGAAGGGTGTCTGTGTTGATGTTACGGTAATTGGCACGAAGTCCAAGTAGAAACGGGTTAGCATTGGATTCTCCATTTATTTGGAGGCTGGGTGGCTGGATTTCTGGCAATGGACACCGAGTCCCCCTGCAGGGCTGTAATACCCCGATTCTCTGGACGTGTGCATTGGGAATCTTCAAAAAGTAAGGAACCACTGGGGGAAAAAAGCACCGATCCCCTAAACAAGCCCGATGTGGTGCTGTCTCAGTTTTGAAAAGAAAGCTTTATCCAAAAGAATGTGTTGTGCTGAAAATGTCAATACCGACTTAAAAAAAAATTAGTTCCAATTAGGAATGATCCGGGAAGTAGGAAGAATATTTTTCTCTTGGCGGTGTGTGAAATGGCGGAAAGGAGTTCAGAACAGGATCGGCCAGGTTTAGAAGCATCTAGAAGGTGGTAGCAGGAGGAAGTTAGAGCAATGGCTGGACATGGGTTGCAGAGGCAGCTGGGGTGTGCCAAGAGGGTTTCCCAAGAGGCTGCAAAGGAGGCTCTGAGGGCTTGAGTGTCCTGGGGCAGCTCCAGGGGAGGATCCAAGCCCACTGGCCCGGTGGGCACAGCCCCCTCCAAAAGGCCATGTGTGCCTATGCTTTGCTGGCCTAAGTATGCCTTTCACTGTGTCTGTTGTGTACTTGTTGACAGTGTGACAGTGACAGGAAGTGAAGCCACACACACATGCCTTTGTCAGCTCTAAGGGCACAGCCTGGACCTGCAGTGCAGGAGGAAATTGGTCCTTGCTCCTAGACTGCGGTCCTTGGTGTGGGATGAGCAGGTGCAAGCCTGTCTCCCATCTCCAGAATTTTTGCTCCACAGAGGTGTTTGATTTCTTGGTGGCTGCCCATCCTTTGAGATCTCCTGTCAATGGGTGGGAAAGAGAAATAATCTGGGCTACACACCTGTTGGAGGGCTTCCAGGACAGCTTAGACATTATGCTGTGTTTTCTCCTTTAGGCTGTGGGAGAGGTATTAATCCTGCCCTTGTCTTGGATGCCAAGGTCCAGGACAGTTTATGGGTATTTTAGTTATTAGTGGTTACACTACACTCCCCAGAGACAATGAAGATGAAGATTTAGACCCAGCTAATTTATTTAAGAGGCCCATCTGAGTCCTTTTCATTTTGCAAAATTTCCCCCCCAAGGGGAAAATAATCCATGTATAATTTATTCTTAAAACATAGATTTCTCTTCTTTTAGAATGTGAACTTGTATGGCTGTGAATAGCTGTAACCAGAAAATGCAACAATTTCAGTTTTTTTTTTTTTTTAAATCACTAAGTGGCTATTCTTGATAGAATTTCATCTCTTTTTGGTGACTGGGCAGAGACATCTATCCAGATTTTGGACTCTGCAAGATTCTCCCCTCTTCTGTTTTTTTTTTTTTTTTTGTTTTTTTGTTTTTTTGAGACAGGGTTTCTCTGTGTAGCTTTGCGCCTTTTCTGGAACTCACTCTGTAGCCCAGGCTGGCCTCAAACTCACAGAGATCCGCCTGCCTCTACCTCCCGAATGCTGGGATTAAAGGCGTTCACCACCACCGCCCGGCCCCTCTTCTGTTTTAAATGATGGTTTTAATAGTGATTGCTTTGCAGTCAAAATGGCATGATGTCATAATAATAAAAATGGCACTCAAAGTTGTATTAGAAAATTATAAAAAGTTAATGAAAATTACAGTTGACTATTATTTTTTTTTTGAGAAAAATTTTGGGTATTTACTACCTTTGGATAGAACCAAACATTTTGATACTTTTTTTGGTGTGTGTGTATGACTAGGCCAAACAACTCTTCTGTAAAAATATCTTGATTTAGCTTGGGCATTGTATAGCAGGGAAATGTCCACCCCCCTTTTTAGCTATGACCTCTTTCTAACAAGATGTGTCGCAGGTGATGGTTGAGAGTAGTTATTTCCGTGCATTTGAGGCTGCACCACAGAAGGCTGTTGTCCTTAGACTGGCCACCTTTGTCCACTGCCTCTGAGGCCTCGGGTGTTCTTTGTTTACTGAATGAAAGGAACATCGCCCAGGTCTCCCTTGGACCTCTGGGAGACCATCACTAGTGCTACTTTTCCAATCCTGCTTCCGATGGCCATTTTCTCAAGGATACCTTTTAGGACCACAAAAGGACCATTGCATGTGGGGCAGATGGGATGTGGTTAGCTTTGCCAAGAGGCGGAGAAAGGCTGCTGTCTGTACAGTTGGGAACAACTCTTCACCATTTGTCTACCATCTGAGATCTAGGAAGGCTGGGTGGCCAGGACAAATTCAGCTGCTCCCTGAAATTCCTGGGCTGGAAGCTGGACACTGAGCTGGCGGCTGATCAGGGACCCTGTCTGTCAGGATGTCCCTTTCTCCCCAGGCTGAGATCGCCAAAGTATCCCTGCTGAAGTCATGAGAATTCTCAGCTTTGTGAGGGGGGAGAGTGCACTACTACGTCAGATAATTTCAGCCACTGCTTCCAGTGAGCTAAGTCTAGCATCCCTGCTCAGGAAGCAGGGGCAGCTTGGCCAGCTGGGCCCAGGGGCCTGCCAGACACCAAGCTGGTCTGGTGTGGTGCTTGAAGCTATAATTTATGGATTAAGGTAAACCCCTCCATTGGCAGGAAGGCATTATAAGGCTTCCTAGACTCTGGCCTTGTGGGATTGGGGGTTACCAAGCAGCTGGGCTGGGCTTTGCAGAGAGGGTGGTCAACTTCTTAATCTTATTGTGGGGAATAGCATGGCTGGCGCTGCACTGGGCTGTAATGTTCATGCTTGGCCTTTGTTCGCTTCCCGGGCATTTTTATGCTCAAGCGGCATGAGGGTAATAAGCGGGCATTTTTATGCTCAAGCGGCATGAGGGTAATAAGCTTGCGCACTGTGTGGTAGTGCTGCCGAAGGCCAGCTGATCCCTCTGTCCCACGTGGATCTTCCCTGACAGACATCGTGGTGTCAGCAGGGACAGAAGCTGGGTGTGAGGGAGTCCTGAAGGGAGCCTGGACACACGCTGGATGGAACAGGAGACGGCCAGTCGTACAGGTCCTCACCCCACCAGTTACTCGCACTCAAGGCCAACCCAAAGGAGGCCAGAGGTTGCATTTGTTCTTAGAGCAGGGTATTGAGTCAAGAGAGCGTCTTGTGCCCCAAGAGGCCAGCTCCTCTCTTGTTGGAGTCTGTCCGGAAAAGCAGAGAACACACTGTCACGGGCCTTGCTGGTTCTCCAGAGTGGGTGTTCTTGCGAGTCCAGGGAAGCAGAGACACTCTCAGTCGACTCAGAATCAGCATCAGCAGTTGGCAGCAGATGGGGTGGGGAGGAGAAGGGTCTGAAAGCAGCTTTTTGTCAGGGAGCCGTGGGCCTGCATTTCCCTTTTGGAAGTGTCTGGAGTGGGAAAGGAGGAAGTTGTAAAATTTGGGGAGTGGGTGAGATGTCACTAGGTCTCCATAGGGTGGGCAGCTGATGTACCTGAGGAGTCTCAGGGCTTCTGTACACTAAGGGGTCAGCTCTCTTCACAGTGTGGCCTGGGTCCCCCTCATAGGAGGCCTCTTGGGTGTATTGTTTTTACAGGGCATCTCCTAAGAGAGACACCTGAAGCAAGTCAGTCTTCTCCCTGCCTAGACCTTTTGTCTCTTAAATGAAAGTGGATCCTGTTCTGAGGTTCCAAGATTCTTCCTAGAAAACTGTTTGGACATTCCAAGGCAAAGTGAATAACTGTAGTCACAGTCATATCACCAGAATTCCCTCCGTCCCTCCCTCCGTCCCTCCCTCCGTCCCTCCATCCATCCCTCCCTCCCTCCCTCCCTCCCTCCTTTCCTCCCTTGTTTTTTTGAGACAAAGTTTCTCTGTGTAGTTCTGGCTTTCCTGGAACTTGCTCTGTAGACCAGGTTAGCCTCAAACTCAGAGGTCTGCCTGCCTCTGCCTTCTGAGATCTGGGATTAAAGGTGGGTGCCACCACTGCCCAACTCTGGCTGTTTCTATGAGTGTGTTTGTATGTCTGCCATCTTCTCTAAATGCTAGCCTCTACTGGGGCTTCACAAGTGTTGCTTCAGTTTCTACCTGGGGTGAATCAGGTGCAGGAGAGTCCATGGACCTGAGGCATAGGGTTTGGCCTTTCCACCAGCTAAGAGCTGTCCTGTGTCCCCTGGTTGGAGAGTGTGGCTACCCTGGCTCAAGATGAGCTTGTGCTCACATTCAGCCACATCCTGACTAAAGCCTGCCAGGTGACCCAGTGCTGGGAAAGGATTCCTAACTGCCAGTGAGTCCTCTCTGGTGAGAAAGTGTAAGTTGGGCTCTGGTGGCCACTCAGAGGACCCAGGGAGAAAGTATAAGAGAGCCTGGCCAAGATAGGCTGCCCTCCCAGGGTCTCCTCTCCATGCCATGGGTGCAAGGCCCGGGCTAAAGCTTACCTGCAGAGTGATTTAGTGGCAGGGATCAGAAGACTTCTTGTCTTCCTTTATACAACCTGTAAAATGGTGGTAAGCACTAAGCATTAAGACGCTCTAGAAGGGAGAAGTCCAAAGGAGGTTTATTTAGATCCCCCCCACCCCACCACACACATAACTCTTCTTTTAGTAGCAGAGGCCTCTACAGCTTTAGGCTGAAGGCAAGTTGTCTTCTTCTTTCCCTTGGTGCCAAGAGCACAGAACAGCGCAAGGGGGATACCCTCCACTCCCTGAGTGAGGCGGGGGTGAGGGAAACCTGTTCCCAAGGGGGCCACATTCCAGGCTTCAGTGACACTGGACGTTGGTTCTGAGTCAGTAGGCTAAACCCAGGGCTGTGAGCTCTGAGAATCAGTCAGGGACGGTGTGTGTGTGTGTGTGTGTGTGTGTGTGTGTGTGTGTGTGTGCTCTGTTTCTGTGAACTCATCTATCTTAACCAAGCCCCACCCATGCTGTGCTTGTAGACATTTTACAGTTTGAGTCTAGACCAGTGGTTCTCAACCTTCCCAATGCTGTGACCCTTTAATACAGTTCCTCATGGTGTGGTGACCCCCAACCATAAAATTATTTTGTTGCTACTGCATAACTGTAAATTTTCTACTTGCTATGAATTGCATTGTAAATATCTGTGCTTTCTGATGGTCTTTGGCGGCCCTTGTGAAAGCGTCACTCAACCCCCAAAGGAGTTGTGACTTACAGGTTGAGAACCAATGCTCTTGACCTTCAGCCAGGCAGAAGTGGGGATGACGCTTCCTGGCAGCTGTGGCAGCCGTTACAACAAATACAAGTCAGCATGGGCTTGGGAGGGCTCAAGGTCACTGAAAAAACCAGCCTGAATTTCAAGGCTCTATTGCTATTATTGCTCATCCAATGCAACTTCATAGCAGCAAGCCTGGCTAGTATGCTATGCAAAGGTCCATTCCTCCCTCCCAGTGCCGAGCTTGCAGGCCTCCTCCAGCACCTGTGAGGCAAACAGGGCTGGTTTCTGTCACATGCATCCCCTTCCTGAGACCCATTTCTGGGTTTGGTGTGAAGGTGTGAGAAGCACATTTTGTTCATCAGGGGAACTTCTTTCTAGAGTAGGAACTCTTTATTCAGAGGGAAGAGAGTGTTGCAAGTCCAGAAACTTCTTATCCTTCTTAGGGGATGCTGAAATAAACTAAAGACATCAGGAAAGGCTGAGGGCCAAACCCGCCTGGCACCGTGGGCACCTTGCTACAGGCCTTCAGGACGAGGCCAGTTATTTTGCTTCTGAATTCCTGTTTTTCTATCCTTTGAGTGGTGGAGGCTGGGGATGTGGCCAGGCAGGAGATGGGCATGTAGTGGTCTTTTGTAGCCATGTAGTGCTTTATCTGATCAGTACTGGAATCCACCACACCCAGTTCCAATGTCTAGAGACGGGGTGAGATGCCATGTTCTGTATCTAGTGCCCCCCGACGCTTGGCTGTCAGTATCTAGAACTATGTCTGGCCCTTCTGGTTATGTGCACATTGTGGACCAAAATAAGAGTTCTGGGAAAGCCGTTGCAGAAGTCCGGCTGAATTAGAAGTAAATGTTAACTGATCCACCAAGAGCACACAATCTCAACTCCCTTGTGGGAGTGCATGCGGCCCTATGCCTGCAAGCCACTTGCTAAGAGAAGCTGCATATAACCTGTCCATGCTTTGACAGTCAGTACTTTCAGACACCTTCTGACAGCCTGGCTCCTTTCAGATAACTCATGTGGGCTATGGGCAGCCATTGCCTGGGCTCTCAGTGGGTCAAGCCTGCAAGGCAGTGCCAAGATGTTCTGGTGGCCTTTCCCTGATGCAGGAGTGAGGTCCTTGATTCCTCCAGGTGTGCAGCAACAATTTGCTTTGAGGATTATGGGATGGCTGGAGGAACAGGCCCCACTTTTGGAGGCTGCCTGTCAGAGTCATACATAATCAACCAATCTGCACTCTGTTTAGAAATGAAGATCCAGTTTGGTGAGAACGTCCAGCATGCAACATGCTTCCTGGCTGGGAAACAAGCTAATGTTCCAAGATGGGAACCAAGACTCTCCAGAGAGGAGTTTCTCTGGTGTTCTCCACCTCAGATAAATCACAGACTAAACATGAGCAGCCTTAGTGTAATTTTATTTTTGCATTTCACTTTACATGGTGGAACAAACAGCTTTTGTCTTTGGTTCTTTGATAAAGAGTCATGATCAGGGCTTTTAGCTGCAAATTTTCCGCTCCAAATGAATAGTTCATGCATTAAAAACAAAAACAAGATTTAG